CTTGGAGCACGGGATTGTAACACTCACCATGAATGCATCAACCTGCAGACGCAGCCCAAGGGGGATTGGTTCTGCGATGATGATTGCAGAGCCAATGCTGGGCTACCCATCCGCAAGGCGAAGAGGCGCAAGACGTAGAAGGTTTCGAGAGTGTTTGTGAGCAGCGCAGCATGTGGGACTTGCCCGGTCATTGTATGTCGCCGAGACGTTACTATTTTTGTCTCATGTTTTAGACAGATGACGTCTCATAACCATATACAGTAATCTCCCACGGGGAGGGGGGGAGGGGGTTTTCGCAAAGGTCCTTACTGCACTTTCGTAACCCCCGGTTGAGTATTCTTCGGACGCAACCCTCGTGACCGAGGCCAACAGTAGTCCGAGAACCGCCAGGGAATAGCCTCCCTAGCACGACATCACGGAGAACATGGTAGACAGCCACTGGTTTGTCATCGAGAGGTAGAGGGCGTCTTGCGCTGAGAGTTGCTCCAGGATGAGATCGAGGACCTCTCTTGGAAGGTCAGACAGGCCCCTGGCCGACATGGAATCTAAGTGTTGCTTCAGTCAGTCGGAAGGTGTAATCATAATGAACAAGTACAAACAACTCTAGCGTGCCCGATAGGTCTCAGTGAACAACAAAGGTTGGGTTGCAGTTCAGGATGAGCTCAAACAAAGGCTTCATCCTCAATGAGCGCCGTGGTTCAAATGTTCATACTGAGCAATACGTAGCTCCAGCTTGACTATTTGTGGGTGATCAATCTATTGGTCCTTGTCGATTAGTGGTTAGATCATCACGTTGTGGTATCACGTGACCATGAGATGGCAATTCCGTGAAGGCGGAGGCTTGAATCCTCCCTGGGACATTCGTTTTATGCTCTCCCTTTTTCTCGAGCTCAAGCGCTCAAGCTCGAGAATGGGCTTTCCCATTCGCGCCGATGGCCAACATGGCCCAAGGGGGGGCGGAAGAGCAGCGCCGGACACGGACTCCCCCCGGTAACCCCCCAGACGAGTTTACGGGGTCCCGATTTTACGTTGGCACGCAGATTATCCCCAAGTTTTTGTCTACTCGACGTACAGACCTCGAAAGACCCTGGCTTTGCTCAGACCCCATGTAGCTAGCGCTCTCTGTATTTTATCAGAGCTACAGAATGCTTGCGCACGCAACACAGAGGAATCACCCTCTACATGGTGCAACTACGCCAGCCGACGATCAGCTGGCGGTAAGCACTTTATGGAGAGAAAGAGGAAGGCGGCCAAGAAACATACGCGCATAGGCGCAGCTCGCTGCATGGACGACGAGTTTGTGGGAGGAAGTAATCTCAAGACATACCCACTGCTGTGCATGTCAGAACCTCTGGGCAACCTCGATCCGCCCTCAAGGCACTTCCTCTACTACGATCCACACAATGTCAGCGACTCTCACAGCTCGGAAGACAGTGACAATGACATACCCGATGATTTCAGTAACCCGGAGGGCGAGGTGATGAGTGGGATAGTGGGCCCGGGAGATGCGGCCAGTGGACTCGGAGACTCAGAGGATCGGGCGCCGGCAGGAGGCAATGGGACTCCTTGGTCTTCGAACACATCACCTGCTATGGCAATCTGTTCAAGCTGTGGAACATGGGTTGAGGTGACAGAAGACTCGCTACGCAAACTGTGGACTCACCAAAGTTTGGACGCATGCCGTCGGGTTACCGCATACTGTGCTACGCAGCATGAGAAGCAGCAGACTGACATCACTCGTCTGGCGACGTTCCGGCAGACTTGCGCGCCGCATGCGCAGCTTGGTGGACGACCTGGAGTCCATCCAACCTTCTCCCATCAGCGATCAGTCTCGGAGTCACAGCTGCACGCACCAGTCCGCTTGCAGGCTTCGCTCTCCGAGGGTTCTCCTGCCAGTGCTGACGGTGCCGAACGTCGACTGTGCGATGGTATCCCGCTGCCCTGGAAAGCAGGATCCATATTCAGCACTTATCCTTGGCACTTGCACGAGAACATCGTGATGAACCTGGGTTACCGACTTGTCCAGTTCGAGAACGAGGGGTCGGAGTTGAGGGTGAAGAGCGAGCTGTGCACTGGCCTAGCGACTGCCCTGTCAGACTCCTGCGAGGTGTGTCGCCGTCTTCCTGCTTCAAAGGTGGTCAGTACCCTCGAAGAGCGAGCCATGAACGCACGGCCACACACCCCATATGTCTACCTCACCCAGGCGCAGCTCGTTGAGATGCTTGGGGCGGCAAAGGACGAGCTTAATAAGTGGAAGCTGCACGTGAGTGTCCCTCCTGTTGCTTCTATGATGTCAATCTGAACGCACCTCATAGAACCTCAACCTCATGCGTAAGGTCGGGCGGTTGACTGTGAAGATGAATGCCCATAAGGATCTGGTTACGGCGGTCTCGCAGTGCGACCTGAACAGGGTCAACGCGATTGTCAAGGTCGCAATGAAGCAACGCCGTAGTCCGACGGAGATCGTCAGACGGATCAAGCGTGCAGTCGAGGACACGTACCATGCGCGGGGTTGGACGGAGACCGACCATCATCTGGCACTGTTGATGTACCGGCTTGGGGGAAGGAAAGCACTCCACGTCTGTTCCAAGGCCGTCGGACTGCCGTCACGTCGGACTATCATGCGGCATCACACTCCGGTGGACCTCATCCCCTCTACTTCGTCGGTGAAGGCCTGGGAGATCACAGCGAACATCAAGGGAATTCCGGTGCTGTGCAGCGCGGCCGAAGCTCCAGCGCTCTGTGGTCAGGCCATTCTGATCGACGGACTCCACATCAACAAAAGGGTACGCTTGTACCGGAAGACCAACGAGATGATTGGATTCTGTCGTGAGCATGGAGCATCGTTAGATCTGTCAATGCACGACATACCCTCAATCTTGAAGGTAGCCGACGCTGTGCATGGCAACGAGCCGACATGCCACTACGGGAAGGAGGCCACGGTCGCTGTTGTCGGCGCATTACGGGGGGATCAGTACCAGCCTCTCCCTGTGATGCTCTCACCTACCTGCAAGTCCGAGAACGCAGAGCAGTTCGCTGTTGTTGTTCAGCTACTCATTGACCAGTGGAAGGAGCATGGCGCCGCCGTCCATGGCCCTTTGTGGCACATCTCAACCGACGGAGACGCCACCTTCTGCGGGGCACTGCATCTTGTGTTGATGAAGCAAGAGGTGCAGCCAGGGGCTCTGCGCGATCGTCTGTGTCAGTTGGAAGGGCTCAATTTGCGAACAGGCGATGATGACATTGTCTGGAACCCGGACCACCGTCATCTGGTGAAGCGTGAGTCATACCACATTCATAGATCATAACTGGGACTAACATACCTCGTCCTTTCAAGGGGTCGCAACCTTGATGCGAAGCCACGAGGGCATGCTCCTGTCGCAGGTCGTCATGAACCGCCGACTGCTGACCCAGGAGCTGACGCGTCTGCCCCAGCACGACAGCAAGGCGGTTGAGCTTCTTCTGGATCCGAACGATCATCAGAACGTCCCGAAAGCTGTTCAGCTTCTTCAGGCTATCCAAGTCCTCTCGAACATCAAACATCCATCACCCTCCCCCACCGACATGGATACCCAGCGGATTCTCACCTTGCTTGGTGATCTGTGGACGTCGTTCCTCAACCTGTACATCAGTCCCCGCTGGTCACTGTCCGAGCAGCTCATCAGCCTATCCAAAGTGGCTCATCTGTTGTTTGCGCTCTTCCGGGCGCATGGTACAGCCTTCATGACAGGTCAGCTGTACGGCGACATCCAGGCCATGATCAAAAGCACTTACTTCGGGGTCGCCAAGCAGCAACTGCTGGACGGTGACAAGCCATACTACCTCTGCCAAGAAGGTAGTAACCGGCTTGAGGTCTACTTCGGGCAGGTCCGGACCGCAACTCACGACTCTAACTGCGACGCGCTGGAGTTGCGTGAGCGGTTGTGCTCGGTCGCAGATATTGCTGACATCTTGAGTCGTCATCCGAAGTGGGATCGGGGACATCGGAGGCTCTCCTACGATGGGAAGGAAGGGGTAGATCGTGTCAATCCACCCTACTTTACCGGTGACCTGGTTGCGAAGAATGCGCACCTCGCGACAGCCTGGAAGTCGGGGCGCGTTCAAGCTACAGAGACACTCCAGCAGGCAGGCATGCCGTTCGACTTTGAGGCTGCACTCTCAGGGACAGTCGACTTCCTGCGGCCCCACGGAGGCGACAAGTATCCTGGGAGGTCTGCGGGAAAGGACCGGTCAATGCCCGACGATCATGTTCCGGAAGCCACAGCAGACGCACCTCCACACGACCCTGACGGCAATCCAGAGTCTCATGCACTTCCCATCCGACTTCCCCCTGAAGATGGCATCGATATGGCGCTCGGGGACCTTCTAAGCGAGCCTGATGAAGATGGGAATGTTCAGGCATCGGACAAGCGGGGGGAGGATTGGATCGAGTACACAGACAAGAAAGGCAAGATCCATATGCTCCATAAAGCCTCAGTGCTCTCGGTCATCTTCCAGATCGGCTACTCACCTCTCTGCGTCGACCGGCTACTGCGCGTCCGAACCTACATGAAGGACTTCATCAAAGTCAGCGTTGAGGAGGAGGAGGAGCAGGCCACTGTCCGCACCCTATCAGTTGGCAGTATCGCGGTTGCACTGATTCGTTGCGAGGGCACTATCGCACTGGCGTTAGTCCGGGTCATCGCTCTGGACAAGAAGAACACGCACGTAGGACAGGTCACAGAGTGCGATCTTGTGAATGCGAACGCCAACGTCTGGGCTCAAGTTCAGGTGTGCCGCATGGTGGAGAGCATGATCCATACTCGGACCATGGTGGCGGGACAGGAGATGGAGGAGGAGGACGAAGCAGTCGCAGAGACTAGCCCTGCTGTTGACCCGGGGCTGGCGACCGTGGTGGGAACATCCGGACACACCTCAGGCTCTGTGCCCCGCCTGGGTGTGACAAACACCGAGGTGGTGGGAGGTTCCTGCAAGTGGATCTGGTCTGGTGAGTATGTGAGCTTCCCGCCTGCGAAGGGATCACGCGCACGACTCAATGAAGGCTCACGGAAGTCACTCGTAATAAAACTTCCGGGCCTGTTCCTGCGTCCACTGAACCCCAGCACTGTTCTGACCTCGGAGGTCCGCAGTGTGTCACCTCGCGATGTGTTACTTGACCGGAGTATTGCGCAGACGTGGTCGCTCACTGGTGCCGAGATACTCGACCTGATCAGTCTGATCTTCGATACGGAATCTGGAGCCAACGCCATCAGCCTACTACCAACATACGGAGAAAGCCGTCAGTTTCCTTACCGTGACCTGCAAGGTGAGCCGTGATGCTGAATGTCCTTGAGTTACCGCAATGACTGACTCGTGGAGCAGGCAATGTATGTGGTGTGGCGACGGAGGCGACAAGGCTCCTCACCAGCCAACAAACACCAGACCAGAGCGGGTGTCACCAGTGCGCAAGCGTGCTCAACGTGAAGACGTGTGAGAACCCGCGTGCTCATGTCGGTAAGCACATCTTGAGGGCAAAATATGGTGTTGCCGAGCCTGGACTCAAGGAACAGGTGAGTTTCTGCATTACTGGACGATCTTGTACGAGAATCAACTCACCTTGGAATAGATCCATAAAGATCCATGCGGATTTTGTGGTCGTGGGACGTGCACCATCGTATTGCTGGCCAAGGGAAAGTCCATGCAAGTCGAGTCAAACTGTGCCCGAGCGCACAAGTTCAGCTATGGTCAGGCCATCAAGACCAACAGGACGACTCCTAGCACGAACGTACCTGTGTTTTGCACCCTTTGCCCGAGGGATCCTGCAACCAAGCGACACCCAACATTCTGGAAATACAACATGCGCGATCATATCAAGATCGAG